CTCTTGGGTGTTTTTTTTTTTTTCTTCTTCTTCTTCTTCTTTCTTTTTTTTCTCCTTTTCATTTTTATTACCGCCTTAGTTTGTGGCCTGTCTTTTTGTGGTTGGCAAGAGGAGTATCGCTGGCAGGGTGGGTTGGGTCGGTTGGCCCCACGCATGATCATGTGCTTCCCTCTTCTCTCTGTCGAACGGGATGTGCTCGCCTGATCTCCCACAACAGAGACTTTGAACAATTTGTTGTTTATATGATGTATTTATTTTTACTTGTGTTTCATGTCATTTTTTTAAAAAATAAAAAATAAAAATAATAAATTGTAAGTTGGTATAACTGCCTGGCGTTTCTCTCGCTTTTTGTTTTTTGGTAGAAAAGTGAAGGTCAAAGTTTTGAAACTGCGGCGTGGTTTGATGGGGATGGGAGCTGGGCTGGGTGTGGGCATCTCTGCAAACCCCAGTTCCTCGCTGCTGGGGCTCGGTGAGGAGCCGTGTCCTGCTGCCTCCAGTGGCGTTTGCGCTCCTGAGACCCCACCTGGAGTATTGTGTCCAGCTCTGGAGTCCTCAACATAGAAAGGACATGGACCTGTTGGAACAGGTCCAGCGGAGGGCCACCAAGATGATCAGAGGGCTGGAGCACCTCTCCTATGAAACAGGCTGAGAGAGCTGGGGTTGTTCAGCCTGGAGAAGAGAAGGCTACGGGGAGACCTTATAGCAGCCTTCCAGTATCTGAAGGGAGCCACAGGAGAGCTGGGGAGGGACTCTTTGTCAGGAAGGGTAGTGACAGGACAAGGGGTAATGGTTTTAAATTGGAAGAGGAAAGATTTAGATTAGATATTAGGAAGAAATTCTTTGCTGTGAGGGTGGTGAGACACTGGTAGAGGTTGCCCAGAGAAGCTGTGGCTGCCCCATCCCTGGAGGGGTTCAAGGCCAGGCTGGATGGGGCTTTGAGCAACCTGGTCTGGTGGGATGTGTCCCTGCCCAGGGCAGGGGGGTGGAACTGGATGGTCTTTATGGTCCCTTCCAACTCTAACCATCCTATGATTCTATGATTTGGGCTCTGCTGGCACCTCCACAGCTGCCCCGGTGAGCACCAGGCTGGAGCGACACCAGGCGCGTGGGTGTCCATGGATGCCACCAGGTGCCAGGGAACCATTTGTGAGAGCTGGCCCTTTCCCTTCTTATTGCTGCTGATAACGATCATCATTAAGGGGGAAAACAAGGAGAATAAATATTCTTGCGGGGTGTAAATAGCTTTGAGTCCCGGAGAGGCGGGGTGGGCTGTGTGCCCTCACCCCGGCGTGCCCCGTGGGGCTCCCGGAGGGGCAGCGGGGACTGGCAGGGTTGAGGTAGTCACGGCGAGGCGTTTCTGCCCGGGGAGCCGAGGGGTGTCTCGGAGCTGGTGCCGACGTGCGAGAAGGGCCCTGGAGAGAGGGAGGAGCGAGCTGCAGGTGGCCCCGGCTCCCTCTGCCCCCTCAGAGGGGCTGGGGGTGCCGCCGCACCCGGCCGGTCTTGCTGTCGGGCAATGGGTGCTGCCACTTCTGGTGCCAGGCTTTCTGCCGCTGCCGTTCCTGGTGCCGCAGGGCGTTGCAGTAGGCATCCAGGCTGGTGCCCGGTGCCCCCAGGGCCCGGGGAAAGCCCTTGTAGCCTGGGTGCAGGTCAATCCGGGGCCGGGGGCTCTGGTGGGTCCCTGCCGGCTCAGTCCCCTTGCTCCGTTTGTAAGGTGGCACCTCCATGGCTTCCTGCCGGATGACTCGGAGGCTGTACCGGGTGAGGGGACGGGAGAAGGAGCGTTCCACCGCCTGGCACTCGTAGGTGCCCGCGTCCTCCCTCGCCAGCTGGCGGATCAGCAGCCCTTGCTCCAGCACCGAGAAGTGGCCGTTGTTCCTCACCTGGGGCAAAGGCAGAGCCACCCCGGGTCAGTCCCGGGGAACCGAGTCACCCCTGTGCCATCGTCCCCACCGCCCCGTCCCCTGTACCTCGCTCAGGCCCGTCTCCTCGCCGTGCCGCACCAGCCACCGGACCGTCGTCTGCGGGGAGCGCGCCAGGCACTCAAGGAAGGTTGAGTTCTTCTCCACCCCATAAACCAGCTTCTCCATGGCAGCGGTCCCTGCGCAGGGGACAGGGGACAGGGTGAGTAGTTCCCTGTGTGTGAGCTGTGACAGGCAGGGATGGAGGGAGGGCAGCACAGAGGACGGTGCTGGTCCAGTCCCAGTGTCCCAGTGCCAATGCCACCCGCCCTCCTGGGCATTGCTGGCCCCCAGGCTGAGCTGGTTGCCTGCAATGGGGGTGCTCGGAGGGGCTGGGGCTGGGGCTCACCCTCTGCTGTGTCCTGGCACTGGCTGAGCGGGTCAGACTTCAGCGCGTCCTGGCAGCGGGCACGCCTGTGGGACAGCAGACAGGGCTGTGGGGTGGCACTCGCCCCGGGCTGTGGGACCCCTCCAGGGCAGAGCACCCAGGGAGAAGGGGAAGGCTGGGTGACAGGGTGGCAGTAGGGGTCTGGACTGATGGATAGAGCTCCAGGGCTGGTGGCTTGCCCTTCCCTGCTCCGAATGCCATCCCTTTGCAGGGGGACAGTGGGGCTGGCCCGGGTGGAGGCTCACCTCTTCTCGGTGAGGAGCTGAGGGGCGCAGGTCCTGCTGTCCCAGGTGCAGTAGGGGTCCCTGGCCAGGCAGCAGTCCGTGCAGGTCCTGCCGTAGAGCTCGCAGCGGTAGAGGGACAGCTGGAGCAGCCCGTGGGTGCTGCTCACAAACAGCTCCTGCTGCTCGGGTGAGAACAGACATAGTCAGTCCCCATGTCTGGAGACCCAGGGCTAGCTGGGGAACTGAGCTCCCTGCCCCGTGCTGGGGTAGGAGCACTGGGAGCCTTGGCTGCTTTGGGAAGGAGCAGGAGGGAGGACTCACCCTCTTCGGTGATAACTTCATGTCCAGGATGGGAGAAGGCACCTGGAGGGGAAGGAGAGGGTGCTTCAGCCAAGTTGGTCTTTCCTGGGTGCCCCAGGCTGCCCATGGGGCTGGGACCCTGTGGTGACAGGGTCATAAGGCCCTGGCTGAGCAATCTGGTCCCAGCTCATTCTGCTTCACACAAGCTGGGCTGGCTGAGGTGCTTCGAGATGACTTGGCTGCCATCCCTCTGGCTTCCCTCCACGCTAAGGGCCAGTGGGGGCAAGTGGGAGCCACCAGCAGGGAGGTGAAGGACCTCCCCGATAGAGGACAGTGACTTGCTGCAGGAGCCTGCAAGGAGGGACCCACGGGGTGGTGGGAGGCTGTGTTGTCCTGGCCTGGACTCGCCTACCTTGGTGACAGTGATCTCCTCCAGGCTGATCACCTCGCTGCCACGACTCACCCCGCCAGCCAGTCCCACCTTCAGGACTTTCCCTTCATCTGTGAACGCAGTGGGAGAAGGAGCTGTCAGGGCTGGGAGCCACCCGAGCCGGTGGGACCGGTGTGCTGGGCAAGCTGCCCCATGGTGACAATGTCCCCAAAACTTGGGGAGGGGGGGGTTCCCACCTGTGCCGAGGAAGAGCACGTCGTAGTGCCGGCTCTCCGTCTCCAGCCTGTGCACCAGCAGCCGCCGCAGCCGGTAGGGCACGTTGACCCTCACCAGGACGGGCTGGTGGCCCTGGGGGTACACGGGCTCCCACATCAGCTGGTGGGTGCGCATGAAGCTGATCACCTCGTCGGGGAAGTCCTTGGTGGACTGCAGGAGGGGGTCGTACGTCTCACTGGGGCACTGCATGACAACATGGTGGGGGGTGGGAGGGCTGCATGAGGGCCAGGCCAGCCCCTTCTGCTCCCCCCCACCCCAGCCTTGCTCCCCAGCCCCTTACCGTGCCGGGCCGGGGGTAGGGGACACGGCCCTTGTATTCCACCCAGCGGTAGTCGAATCCCTCCTTGTGTGCAAAGGGGCCACTGAAGGCAGCTCTCACGGCAGCCATGGAGTAGACGCAGACGGCAGAGCCGCTGAAGACACCGCTGCAGGGGGGGAGAGAGGGGGGGTGTCACTGCCCCTGCTGCTCCACGGGGACTGGGCACATGCCCACCCATGCCCCTGAGCCCACGCTGTCCCCCATAAGCCTGGGAGTCACGCATGGCACCCAGAGGGGGACAGGAATCTCCTTGGCACAACAGTTCCAGGGGGACCCCTGGCTGTGGCGATGCCAAACCTGGTGGTTTGGCCAATGGGCTGGTGAACCAGGGGCAGGGAAAGCAGTGAAATGGCCAGTGGTCCTTCCTCTCCCAGCTGGGTGCTGGTCCTGCCCTTCTCCCCCCACCAGGGTGGGAGCTGGTGGGGCTGGTCTGCCCCAGTGAGCCCCGCTCACCTGGAGACTGTGAAGAGGCCGAAGACAAGGGGGTTCTGGGGGTCCCGGGTGCGCAGGAGGAAAACATCTTCTGCAAAGAAAAGGATGGAGGTGAGGCACCTGGGAGATGGAGAGCAGGTCCAGGGGATGCAGGCGGGCATCCTCGACGGCATGCCCACCTCCCTGGGTGTGCTGGGAGGAGCAGCCATGGTGGAGCAGTGCTGTTCCCAGCTGTGGACCAGGCTGTCCACTCACCGAGCTGGTCGAAGTGGGTCTCGTGCTGGCCCAGGGGATGCAGGCGGGCATCCTCGACGCCATGCCCACCTCCCTGGGTGTGCTGGGAGGAGCAGCCATGGTAGAGCAGTGCTGTTCCCGGCTGTGGACCAGGCTGTCCACTCACCGAGCTGGTCGAAGTGGGTCTCGGTGCCCTGGGGCCCGGGGATGGAGCACACCAGGCGGGCCTTGAGGAACGTGCT